ATTGCTTGCCTAGCACGCACCAGGTCATGGGTTCGATTTTCAGCATTCCAACACATAAAGAAACTAAAGAGAAGGCCTAGCTCACAGTGGTGCCAATAAATATATATATATATAAAAAAATCTACTCCTTATAATGGTAGCTCTTAAAATCCCATCAGAATCACTTGGGAATTTTGGTGAACTAAAACTAGAGTAACTTAGGAGCAAGGCAGAAGAAAGGGGAGCAAGGCAAAGGAATTCATAATTATCCTTTGCTGTCCTAGGAGACTGGATCTGTGGACACTCAAGTCCCTTTTATAAAATGGCATCGTATTTGCAAATAACCGATGCACATCCTGCTGTATTCCTTAAATCATCTCTAGAGTACTTGGAAAACCTATTACAATGTAAATGCTATGCAGATAGTTATTATACTGTATTTTTTTTGGTACTGGGGATTGAACCCAGGGCTCTTTAAACACTGAACAGCATCTCCAGCCCTATTTTATATTTTATTTAGAGATAGGGTCTTGCTAAGTTGCTTAGGGCCTCGCTAAGTTGCTAAGGTTGTCTCTCAACTCTTGATCCACCTGCCTCAGCCTCCCAAACTGCTCGGATTACAAGTATGTGCCACTGTGCCTGGGTGTTATGCTGTATTTTTTTTTTAAAGTTATACATGGACACAATATCTTTATTTTGTTTATTTATTTTTATGTGGTGCTGAGGTTCGAACCTAGTGCCTCACATATGCTAGGTAAGTGCTCTGCCACTGAGCCACAACCCCAGGGCTATACTGTATTCTTTAGGGAAAAACAAACGTATATACATGCTGAGTACAGATATAACCACCATAAGCCTAACTACACTGATGCATGAACAATATAAGAGACAGACAATGCTTCCAAGGGGCACTGGAAAGAAATTACAGATCTGTGAAATGCAAGGGGCTACGGCAGGGTCTGCCTGCACATCACTTCATTCACAGGGATTCAGCACAGTGCTTGGCATATGGCAAATTCAAGTTTTACTTTTTGGAACTTTCTGAAATTTTATTTTTCTGATTTTTTTTTTTTTTTTTTTTTAACTAGGAATTGAACTCAGGGGCACTTGACCACTGAGCTACATCCCCAACCCTAATTTTTTTTTTCCTCAAAATTTTTTGATCTATGGTTGGCTGAATCCGTGGAGGTAGAATCCATGGTTATGGAGGGTTGATCATTTCATTTCACTGTATTGGGGATTGAACACAGGGACTTGTTCACCACTGGGCTACATCACAAACCCCCCACCTCTTTTTAAAAATTTTTTTCTTTTTTTTTTTTTTGAAGTTGTAGATGGACAGCATGCCTTTATTTTATTTATTTTTAAGTGGTGCTTAGGATCGAACCCAGTGCCTCGCACGTGCAAGGCAAGCGCTCTGCCACTGAGTTACAGCCCCAGCCCCCCAAGCACTTTTTGAACTTTATTTTGAGATAGGATCTTTCTCAGTTGTCCAAGTGGGTCTTCAGCTTGCAACACTCCTGCCTCACCTGACCAAGCAGCTGGGATTACAGGCATGCGCCACTTTGCCTGATTATACATTTTAAACAAGTCCTTCTGGAGATTATTATAGGCATTAAAGTTTGGAAATTAGAGAGCTGTTTCAAAGAACCACTTATATGCTTACATATGTTTCTGACAAGATATGAACAAAATAAAGTTTGAATAACACTTCCAATGTCTCTCCTTGCTAACTACTCCTCTCTCTTCTTCCTGGAGCAAACTCCCAAAACAACATTCCCAGGAAGCCCTTACTGTGTGCAAAATCTTCCCTACTACAGGAAATAAAAACTCATAGTTGTAAGCTGGTTATTGAAGAATCTTTATGGTCAGCTAGCAATCAACATAAGTTTTCAAATTTTGGTTCTGAGGATTGAACCAAGGACCTTGAGCATGTGAAGCACGTACTCTATACCTGCAGCTCCAATCAATATAACTCTTCAACTGAACAGCCCAAACTCTGGAGCCAAAAAGCTGAGTTAAAAATGCCAGCTCAAAGAGCCCACAGGATGGGAGAAATCTTTGCTAGCTACTCTTCTGATAGGGTATTAACATCTAGAATATATAAAGAGCTCACCCCCCAATCAAATAATCTAATTAATAAATGTGGAAATGAATTAAACAGACACTTCTTAAAGAAAAGAGATACAAATGGCTAACAAATATATAAAAAAAAATGTTCAACATCATTTGCAATTAGGAAAGGGCAAATCAAAACTACGCTGAGGGGCTGGGGTTGTAGTTCAGTGGTAGAGTGTTCACCTCACATGTGGAGGGCACTGGGTTCCATCCTTAGCACCACATAAAAAATAAAATAAAGGCATTGTGTACATCTACAACTGAAAAAATATTTAATAAAACTACACTGAGATTTTATCTGAACCAGTCAGAATGGCAGTCATCAAGAATACAAATAATAAAAAATGCTGGAAAGGATGTGGACAAAAAGGAACACTTTTACAGTGTTGGTAGACTGTAAATTAGTACAATTGCAATGGAAATCAGTATGGAGGCTCCTTAAAAGACTAGGCCTGAAACCACCACATGACCCAGTTACGCCACTTCTCAGTATTGACCCCAAAGAATTAAAGTCATCTTACTACTGTGATACATGCACACCCATGTTTATAGCAGCACAATTTACAATAGCCAAACTATGGAACCAACCCAGGGGTCCATCAATGGATGAATAAAATAAAGAAAATGTGGAATATAAGCTGGCGTAGTGCCACAGGCTTGTAATCCTAGCAGCTTAGGAGGCTGAGGTAGGAGGATTACAAATTCAAAGCCAGTCTCAGCAACTTAGTGAGACTCTGTCTCTTAAAACAAACAAACAAACAAACAAACAACAGCAAAAAAAACTGGGGATGTGGCTCAGTGGTTAAGCAATCCTGGGTTCAATGCCTAGTACCACCCCCAATTCCTGCCCCCAAATGTGGTATATACACACAGTGGAGTTTTATTCAGCCATTTAAAAAAAATGAAATGGCATTTACAGGAAAATGGATGGAAATAGAGACCATCACATTATAGGAACCAAGTCAAACCAGAAGATTAAGGGTCCTATGTTTTCTCTCATATGCAGAAGCTAGAGAGGAAAAAGGAAAACAAAGGTGGGGGTAGATCTCCTAAAAATCAAAGAGAGATTAGTAAGAGAAAGGGACCTAGGGGTGGAAGATGGGGAGGGAGAAGGAAATGCTGGAAAGTGATATTGGCCAAATTATATTGCTATTATGTGCCTGTACGAATAAGTAACAAGTCCCATGAATATGTACAACTATAATGCACCAATAAAAATTGTGAGAAAAAAGTCCTGGCTTAACCAATTATTAGATGCATGACTGGAAGCAAATAACTTCACCTCTTCTATCTCATATGCCTCATCTATAAAATGGGGATATTAATGGTACCTGCATGAAGGGGCTGTAAAAAGGATTAAAATGATCAATATATGCACAGCACTCAGAATAGTGCCTGGCATATAGAAGTGTCATGTAAGTGTTAGTTATTACTATTACTGTAATTATCCTTTACTACTTCCCTGTTCACACATTGCACTGTGGGCTCACCTATTAATTCCTGCTTCTTGGGCATTTTTCTATACTTTCATGTTCTTCCCAGAATCTGTAACACAGCTCCACACCATGTCTGGGGTCAAAGGTATCCGATAACAAAACCTAAATGAAGTCTTTAATGACTAACTCCTCCAATATCCAAATTAATCTTTCCTGCCTCTGAGCATTAGTGAAAATGTGTGTGTGTGTGTGTGTGTGTGTGTGTGTGTGTGAGAGAGAGAGAGAGAGAGAGAGAGAGAGACTTCTCTCATCTCTTGGACTATAATTTCCCTAGAAGGGTGGTAAAATCTAAACAGTGTGCTTTCAGGAGTGAGATCTATCTGGATTCCAAATCTGGTCACCATTTATTCTCCCCGAGCCTCATCTCCCATTTATCAGTTCAGGATAACATCAATTTTGAAAGGTCGTTGGTAAGATTAGATGTCAAGTTGTACCCAAGATATTTAAAAGGGCACAAGCATCCTGGATAAGTAGTTTTTCTAAACAAGTTTACTAACATGCCAAGAGAAACAAAGCACAGCAGTCAGGACACATGCAGGCTGGCTATTTACAAAACAGCAGTGACAAGAAGAAAAATCTCATTGGCACGTGCAGTCTGCACATGCTCTGGATTGTGCCTGAGGATGAGAGCAAATCTTCTTCGTATTGGCCTTACAGGGAGTGACGTTAGGGCCACCCAAAGGACCGACCAATGGGCTTTGGCGGGCAGGACCCAACGGCGACAGTTGAGGGCATGATAGCTTTTGGCTCTCACTTTCTCTTTTCCACCAAAGTTGGGGGCTGTTTCTTAACCCGCCAAAGATCCCCAATTAGACAACAACCGGACTCATTTGTGCCTTCTTTCTCCCCTCTACCGTTTAAAAAATTTTTTAGAGGAAACTGCCTTTTGCACAAGTTCATATTTCTGAGTCGTGAGGCTGGGGAATCAGGAGCTAGCCCAGGTCCGGTATGATTCTGGGGTTTCATTTTCTCCTTTCTGGCACTTAGGTTACTCAATTTTAAAAGAGGGAAACACCTCTCCGTGTCGGGGCAGTAAAGTGCCTGGCAACCAGACCCGTCTAGCGGGCGGTCGCAGGCTGTGGCTCGCGCTGTTGGCGGCCAGGCGTGCAGAGGAGTGGAGGCGACGCCCCCGTCCTCTTACCCGCGGAGCCCGAGGGGACGCGGGCGAGGCCCAGCGACCCGCGTGCCCACGGACGAGATGAGAAAGTCGGCCAAGCGGGGGTCTGCCGCCCGGTAGCCCGGACACAGGCTGCCGGGGGGCCCGGCCTGGGTGAGGAAAGGCCCGCGTGCCTCTTCCGACCCACCAGGGCAGCTCGGCCGACGAGGTCCCGGTCCATCCTCCACACCACGCCCCGAAGACCAGCACCGGGCCGCCCCCTCGCTGTTCCCAGCGCTGCGGCAGCTTACCATTCTATTCGCCCCGGGACCGATCCGGCCATCGCCCCCCGCACCGACCCCCGCAGAAAAGGAGGAGGAGCTGGACGCTTCACTTCCGGAAGCCACCGAGGACCGACTGCGGAGGGTACCCCTGGCCCGCGACCATAGAGGAGAGGCCGCACTCATTTCCCAGCCCCCTCAACCCCGCGACCTCCCCGCTGCCTAGAGCGGCCACTCCCGGGTGAGGACGTGGACGCATGCGTACTCCTGCCAACCCCGCCCCTTCCTCTTCACTGACTGACCTCGGGCCAGGGCAGAGTTACAACCCGAGTGGGAAGGAGGGTGTGTCCCTGTGACTAACTTCTCCTTTAGGGCTGCTGTTTCTGTGTAGTGAGGAAACAAACTTGCTCAGAAATTAGAGTAGTATTAGAAGACCGCTATATGCTTTTCCCAATAATTTTTGCCTTCACATTTTATGCAGAAAAACCACAGGACGTATTTGACTCATTATGTATGTATGTATGTATTTATTTTTTTGGTACTGGGGATCCAACGGAGGGGCGCTTTACCACTGAGCCCTTTTCATTTCTTAATTTTGAGACGGATTCTCACTAAGTTGCTAAGACTGGCCTGGAACTTTCCATCCTCCCGTTCTCAGCCTCCTGAGCTGCCTGAACTATAGGCGCGCACCACCACGTCTGGCAATTTTGAGAATATTTGGAATTAAAATGGCCTGGGTTGGGGATGTGTCTCAGTGAGAACTCATGCTGATTATCTGTTTTAAAACACGTAGAGATTATTAAGTTGCTGTTTTGAGATGACATCCCCCCCCCCCATGAAATTGGCAAAGAGTTAAAGGATCAGTAATGTTATGTGCTAGTGCAAGGAAGGTGTGAACTGAGTTTCTGGAGGATAATCTGGGAATAGGTACGCAGTAAACAATTTATACAGTACTTCACTATTAACAGCCTTTATCACTAATTAATTATCACTAGTTAATTATCACTAACTGTATTGAGGAATACAGTGTCCCCGGGAAATTGAGGTTTTAGGAATGGGTGAATGCTTTCTAGACCTAATAAAGATGCCTTGATAACATTTGAAAACAGGTGTAACCAACTTCATAGAAGGTTTTATGAAACCTAGGAGAATTCATTCACTCAAACCATGTTTATTGGATGCAATGACTAGGCTTTGGGGGATCAACAGCAACCTCAAACAAAGAAACAGGGTAAGCTCACTTCTCTATGGCTAGTATAACAAATAAAGGTCTTTGCTTTCTCTGAGACCTCTGTGTAAACCACACTACCCAGTCGCGGTTATTCTCTATTGCAGTACCCTGCATTTTCTTCATAGTGATTATCTTAGGTTTATCAAATGACAAGTTTTTTTTTTTAAATTTAATTTAGTATTTTGTTTTAGTTGTAGTTGGACACAATACCTTCATTTATTTTTTAATTTTTACGTGGTGCTGAGAATCGAACCCAGGCTAGCGCTCTACCGCTGAGCCATAACCTTAGCCCCACAAATGACAAGTTCGATTTCTGCTTTACTTTTTCCTTCGAACCCCGAGTTTAATGGGGGCAAGGACCATACTTTCATGTTCATCATCATATTCCCCATGCCCTTCAGGATGGCATATAATAGGAACCCAATAAATATATGTATATATATTATCATTATTATTATGATTATTTTGGTACCCGAGATTGAACTCAGGGACACTCCGACCACTGAGCCACATCCCCAGCCCTATTTTGTATTTTATTTAGAGATAGAGTCTCACTGAGTTGCTCAGCACCTTCCTTTACTACGGCTGGCTTTGAACTTGCGGTCCTCCTGCCTTAGCCTCCCGAGCCGCAGGGATTGCAGGAGTGCTCCACTGTGCCTGGCCGGTAAATATTGGTTGATCAACTAGAATTTAAGACCTGACTCTCGCAAAGCCGAGGCCTCCACGGAGGAGGCCACGCCCCCACTCTTTCCCCAGAGGATCTCCCCTGGCCACGCCCCCGCAGTGACGCAGACGCTGACGCAAGCGCAGCAGGCGCGCGCTGTTTCCGGAAGTCGCCGCCACGGTGTGTTCTGTTGCTGCTGCCGCTGCCTCGGCTACCGCCGCCGTCTCTGTGGAACTCGGCGAGTAGAACGGCTGAGCCGCGGCCCGGGCGGGGCCAGGGTTCCGGCCACTCTACAGAATGGAGATAATCAGGAGCAGTGCGTGTCCGCCGTGCACTACCCGCGTGCCCACCCTCACCCTCACCCAGCCTGCTAGGCCCTGCTGCGGCCAGCCTGTTTGGCTGGGCTCGGGGCTGAGTCAGTCAACCCCTCAGGCTCTGCCCCCGTTAAGCCTGTGCGCTTCTTGGGGCCTTATCCGTGTGCGGAACATGCATTCCTGTGTCCCTTGCCTTGCTCTGCTCGGCCACCCGCTGGGGCCCTGTCTTTTTCCGCCTCCTGCACCCTTCGAGACTTTTCTCCCTCAGGCCCAACTACCCCTCGGGGAGTTTACCTCGCGTGGCCCATGCACCCCTGGGGGACTAGATGATCTCCTGTCCTAGCGCACCTCTGGGACTTGTCCCCATCCAGCTCGCAGCCTCGTACATACCAGGGCACTTCTTCCTTTTCCACTTAGGGGTCTGTGGGCAGGAAGCCAGGCCATCGGGTTCTGAGCCTTTTCTCGGTTTCTCCGCAGATTTTAAGAGTAATCTTCAGAAAGTGTACCAGGCCATAGAGGAGGCGGACTTCTTTGCCATCGATGGGGAGTTTTCAGGTATCCCTCCCTTGAAAACTTGGGGCTCAGGGTCCTTCAGCCGTTCCCACCAGCCTGGGGCTCCCTAATTTCTCATGCCTGCTTGCTAGCTGCGCCTGGCTCTTGGTAGCTTTGGGCGGGTTGCAGAAGTCTCAGTGTTGCACCTTGAACGTTTCAAAGGCATTGAACAGTTGTAGTGGTTTTGTGATGGTAGGCTGTGAGGGTTGCAGACTGAACAGAGATTATGGTGTCGGTGCTACTTAAAACACTTTGGTGCATACATAGTAGAAAGCTTGAAGATTAGGGTCAGGCTTTTTGAGTGTGGTAAATATACACAAAATAAAATTTACCATTTTAACTTTTTTAAGTGTTTTACTGTTAAGTGACATTGAGTACATTCTCATTTCTCTGCAGCTATCACCATTCACCTCTGGAATATTTTCATCTTCCCAAACTTATACTCTGTACACATCGAAATCTCCTTTTCTCATTTTCCCTGCCATTTGACAACCACCATTTACTTCTATAAATCTGACTAATTTAGACACAATCATACAATATTGTCCTTTAGTGACTGTCCAGGGCCAGGCTTTTGCAGATAAAAGGATATTCCTTTATATATTCGTAGAAGTGTTCATTGCCTATATATAAAGGTATGTTTGTGTAATACTTCACCAACCCTTTAAAAAATTTTTTTTGTAGTTGTAGATGGACAGAATGCCTTTATTTGTTTATTTTTATGTGGTGCTAAGGCTTGAACCCAATGCCTCACGCAAACTAGGCAAGCGCTTTGCCACTGAGCTATAGCCCCATCTCTTCACCAAAACTTTTTATAGTTGCCGTGTTGTATTATTTTGGGGGTGATACTTATTTTTAAGTTGTTTATGTCAGTCCAAAGAGTTTTATCCTTTTGGTATAAATACCCATTTTTGCTGCTTAGTTTACATGTTTAAAAACCTATAGCTCTTTCTAAAGGAATCCATGAAGAGGTAACCATGATCCTTAGTGTGAATTTTTTAGTTGGAGTCAATATGCTCAAAGTTTCCACCAGAAATAACTTTATCTTGACCCTGAAAATGCCTTTGTTGTATAGATGTTACTCCAAACTCTGTTGACCAGTACTGGTCCTCTGAAATCTTCTAGTCCTGAATGCTTAAGATTTGTTGTTGATGTCTGATATGTGTTAATCCTTTACAAAGCAGCAGCAAAACTTATTCAAACATAGAGTGGTTTTTTTTTATGCTTACTGTATTTTGAAATCCATTTTAGAACTGCCTATTCACAAATTGAAACTTACATCTCAATTTTTTTTTTTTTTTTTTATAATATTGGGTATTGAACCCAGGGCCTTCTGCATGCTTGGCAAGTGCTCCAGCACTGAGCTGCATCCCTAGTCTGAAACATTTATGTTTCTTAAGTTTATTGTTACAGAATTTGGCTTGGTGGACAAATAAATGCTTTCTTTCTTTCTTTCTATTGGTGCTAAGAATCAAACCCAGGGCCTTGTGCATGCTAAATAAGAGGTCTTATCACTGAGTTACACCAGTAGCCCCAAATTAAAGTTAATTTTGAAAAAGTAAGGTAGGAGCACTTCTAATTAATCTTGGTTCATTAGAATATGAAAGTACAGGGCTGGGGCCTTTTGTGAGGCACTGGGTTCAATCCTTAGCACTGCATAAAAATAAATAAAATAAATGCATACTGTCCACAACTACAGAAAAAAATATGAAGTTACAGAGGCATTGAATTGTTGACTTTTTATTTTGGGCACTGGGAATCTAACCCAGGGTGCTAGGGTGCTTTATCCCTATGCAATATCCCCAATTTTCTTTTATTTATTTATTTATTTTCTGTTTCATTTCATTTCATTTTATTTTTTTTATTTATTTATGGTTGTCAATAAACATTTTATTTATCTATATGCGGTGCTGAGAATCGAACTTAGCCTCACACATGCTAAGCAAGTACTCCAACAATGAGCTACAACCCCAGCCCCTCTCTTTTATTTTTTATTTTGAGACGGGGACTTGATAAGTTGCTGAGGGGGTCACTAACTAACTAAGTTTGAGGCTGAACTCAAACTTGTGATCCTCCTCCCTTTGCCTTTCTAGTTGCTGGGATTACAGGTATGTACCCCTGCCCCTGACTTCACTAATTTTAAAAAAAGTTTTAGTTGTAGATGGATGTAATACCTTTATTTTATTTATTTGTCTTTATGTGGTGCTGAGGATCAAACCCACTGCCTCACACATGCTAGGCAAGTGCTCTACCACTGAACCACAACCCCAGCCCCTTCACTGATACTTTTATACTAGCATTTATTAAAATAAAAACTTATTTCTTAAAATCTAGGAATCAGCGATGGACCTTCAGTCACTGCATTAACAAATGGTTTTGATACTCCAGAAGAGAGGTATCAGAAGCTTAAAAAGGCAAGTAGATAGGCTGGAGAATCTATCTCTTTCTCGTGTGGA